AACAAAATGAAGGTGTAGCTGGTATCATTATCCTTAACTCGCGTACATCCTATTGGGCTGTCCGAAAGGCAATGACAACAGAAGCCACTCAAGATAATGAAACAGGTAAAAGATTATGTGCCGCATCCATTCTTCGCAGTTAAAAGATGGTGCCAGGATAGTTAGACAACTAGGAACACTTAACGACAGATGAAAACAACTTAACAAAAAACATTCAGAGGCCTCGGAGAAAAGGAAGTTGGATGAATTTAATTTAGACTCGTGGGAAAAACTTGACGTCAGGAACGATGTAAATGTTCAAGAAGAATGACTGCAGTTTTGGGTAGCACATAATATTAGCCTGTCAAATTCTACGAGTGTGTAATAAACCATACAAGATGTGTTGGCAGTTTGCAAGTATGGAGCCTGGCAATGTTTTGAAGGGATGACTGGTTAATTTTTCGAAATAGAGCAATAGAAACACAATTTACCAGATGGAAGGCCCTTCAGCACATGGTTGGCACAGAGAAAGGTGGCAAAAGGTTCGTCGACTTGGTGATTGTAAAACCAGTCTTCAATAACTCCTTCGTATTCTTCTAAAAGTATTTGACACTAAAAATCAAATAAATCTCGGCAAGATACGGATTTTTGAAGCAACGTAATCTCCGCTGAAGGTGAGTCCCAGAGCTCATGAGGGACGTCCGTTTTAACTTCTACACCGCGGCCTCTACGCAAATAAGTAAAAGAAAAAACTTACATTAACTCCTTCAATACTTCGAATGTTTGTGGAACTCGTTTTTCAAATCGGGTACTGTCAGTGCGCTCTTTGTGGACTCTGTACTTCAACATCCTATCGCAAAGAGAAGGTTCTTGGAGAATCTCGATCAAGCGTAACTCACTAAAACACGTTAAACATTGAGGGATACTAACGAAGTTGCATATGGAAGCTGCCGTCTATCTTCAGTGCCGTAGTCGATGTCAATAACTCCAAAACTCGAGGTTTCTTTAAATCGGTCTATAAACTCGATTGCAACGATCTTGCACACTTCGCAAGCAGTGGGTGGTTTTACTCCATAGGCATCCTCTTCCGTTACGGCCTTTAAAGAAGCCTCGCAAAAGTTTCCTCCAAAGGCAATGATTGCGCTGATTAAAACAAGATCCACCATCAGAACTTTGGCGGAAAAGACTAAAGTTTGACTTTCTGTCTGGCAATTTTGAAAAGAAAACAGGTAATTTGCAAAGGTGATCGAGGCCTGGCAGATCCAGACGTGGCCGACTTCTCAGTTACTTCTTTTTGGCACAGCGAACGCCAACGTATTCTTCTGCAGACAATTGAGTTATTTTATCCAGACAGTCATGCAAAATATAAATAGAAGCAAGTAGCGTGAATAACAAATTTAATAAGTGAATGTGTATTTGATCAATAAGAGAAACTGTGACAGGAAAAAGGGACAAAAAAGAAGAGTAAGGAAGATGAACTAACTAGATCCATCTTTAGGGGAAACGCCCTGTTGGACTGCAGATTATCTATTGAAAGCATTGAACACAAAGTAACACAAGGAACTTCCACAAGGCGACCTCGGTCAGCATTTTATAAGACTGGAAGTTAATGCGGTTCCGTCTTGACTTGCTTTAGTGTCGATGATGGGAAGACGGTTGTCCTTACAACTGACTCCAGCAC